TAGAACAATGCACTTCGTCCGTAAGTATAGTGGATCAAACAGTTCATCGCTTAACGCGTCGCTCAAGTCTCTGGCAGATTGAACAGCGGGGTTAGTGGGAATTGCCATAACGGGAGTGTACACGATGTAACCGCAGACAACGTAAGAAATGTTGAAACGAGTTAGCGGGTGGAAGGAAATGCAAAACGACAGGGTAATTCAAACGAGTTCCTCGAGAACTTTCCTGGCGACCTTCTTCGGGAATCGATGCTGCCCCTGTTAGGAACAGCCGACCCAATTTCCCGGATACGAGAGTAACACGCGACATCGACGCAAATGGCGAAAACAAATTTCAAATTAAATATTTTTTATTCGACTTGCCAACATATACATTACAAATTATTACTATACTAACAACGAATAATTATAAAGTCAACGACAGATTCGTAGAGTCAAAAGTTTCTATACAATATTTCATATTAGACAGAACGAACGATGCAAAGATATTCAAGGAACATACGATGCATTCATCGATCTACAATCTATATGCTCCTAACCAGTTTCGCAGCGTAATCGTCCAATCCTTTCGCCGCAATCTTTTCATCATCCATTTATGATTATTTTTAATTTACGATACTCTTTCATACTATCTGATGCGATGTAGTACATGGAAACTTGGAGTGTCCAAGAATAACGCATGACGATGCAATGCGTATAGTTACACGCGACGGTACAAGCGGCGGTAGAAGCGTCGAAACGCGTACCGATTCGATGCGTGAGAATCGAGTGCGTGGCAAGACTGACCTAGAAAAAGAACGTATTAATCCTCTTGTAGGGAATAGGGACGGCACTTAGGTTCCTGTGCACTTTCCCTGAATGAGGAAAGCGTGGGTTGAGGCGGTTTTACGAGCAAGAGCTCGCGTTCGCATCGATCAAAGGGGAAAAGTCGGGAATCGGATCAAGTCCATCGCTAGCGAGCAGAACGTTGCGACCGGCTGACCAACCACGGATACGCCTCCTTGCTTGCTTGCCTGCCACAAGCCAGGTCGTGTACACTGGGTCAGGAGAGAGAGTCAGTCATAGCGACGCCGTGCTACCATTCGCGTCACTCATTGTTCGTCAACCTGACAAACAGCCTCCTGTCGAAGGTACGCGGCTTAGGGGACACGACCTACCTCGATCATCGAACGAGAACGCTCCGTCGATCCTTCGTTTCCTTCGACGATATACACGGCTCTTCGTTCGCACGCCGATTTCTCCGTCACGTGACGACGGCTGGCTAAACGAACGTCTTACGAAAGGTTTGCTATCGTTGATGATTTTCGATCTCTTTTCCTGCGCGCGATGATTCCTCGAGTACGCGGATTCTCTAGAACGGAGGTACCATTCCTCATTTTCTTCTTGGGTGCGTCGAATTTTATATCGTGCAAGTTCTTGCTCGGACGTTTCGTAACTCGGAATCTTTTGCTCGCGATAGATATCGTAGATTTTAATTTTCGTAGGAGGTATCTTCTTGCCGGGATTTTCAAGCTAAGCTAATACCTTATTTAATCCGTGCTGCGTAATTTTTCGAGAAATTTTATTCGGACGTCGCTTCGAAACTTCGAATCTTCTTTGCTAAGGATTGTTAGCAAACTTTCTCGAACGCGCGTTGAATCCGAGACGACCTTTTATCTGACTCCGGCCATACAGATTTTCGATGCAGATTACATTTCAGACGGATAGAAAATTGAAGGCATTTTATACGTTGCATCGATCGAGGTTCCATTTGACCATTTGCTTTCTACAAAGTATCGCAAATTGTACGCTACTCTTTCCTCTAGAATTTCACTGTATTTTGTTATGTTCTCGGTTCTCGTACGCGTGTCGCACCTGTTAATCAAATTTGATTTGCACGCTACAAAGCTAGGTTTGAAAATTTTAGTAATAGCCCGGTCAATCGTGACTCGAATCGTACTGGCAGCCGAATCGTACTGTTCCTTGTTAACAATATTCTATTTGCACTGCGCAGAGGTTTGTTTGAAAATTTCAGTGGCAGTCGGGACAGCCGTGATCCAAATTGCTCGATCGCTAAAACGTTGTCATCGAAAGGCTAAGGCATATCGGAAAAATAATTGGTGGAAAAATTAGAAAACGAAAATGGATCAAGGTCCCTCGTACGGTTCGTTATCCGAGTGGCGAGACCTGAAATAGAGAGGCTATCGTATATCTACCAAAAAGTTAGCGGCGTTCAAGGCCTCGGGTCGCGTATCGATCTCGAAAGCTTCCTCGATCGAGAGCAAGACCGCGTGCAACAACGACAGAGCGTGTTGCGGTAGTCGCGCGGGCTCGGAATCGAGGTTAGCGTGCCGTCGAATCTCTGGACCCTTTTCTTCGTTTTCTGGTATTGACCGGGTGAGCGCTCGCGGCGCGCTACGCGCCCGCCATCTTTCGGG